GTTATGCAACAGAGAAGATTGAGCCAGACACCCAAACTTCAAGGTGTCAGCTCTCAAGGGAGTAGATCAGTGCGATTTAGGGACAGTTCCATTTCGAGAGATGCTTTTCGGATAGTTCCTGATCAGCAATAGAACATTCACAAACAGATGGGGAGGATAACGGGGGACTAGTAGGTCTAATAATATAAAACACCTACAAAGATAGATGCATGAGTCACATATATCGGTACCCTCAGATATGGAAAAAGCAAGATACAAAAGGTCAAAATTCGGATTTCAAGAAATGTTTGTTGTACATGTTGGCACCATCCCAGGTGAGTGGAAAGTAAGCATCCCAGATATTTGATGTACTGTGTACTTCCTACTTGCAAGTTATGGAGTAAGATGTTAGAAAGAGTCGATACGAAGGGCATTGATGGCCCAGAATTGCGGAGGACTAAGACACAACAGCAACGGGATCTTCAGCAATGGGACTGATGGCTGATTTCAAGGGTTTTGTTCGATGCTCACTAACCACTACTTTCATGGATAAATATCAAATTGAAGAGAGTTGGTGCTTCTAGTAAGTTTTAAATAGACGGGGAGAACAGAATAGGGATCGAAGTTTTCACTGTGAATATAGGGCCATTAGTAAAATAGACGAATCCAATTTAACGAAATATTATGTTCTTGAAACAGTGTCAACAGGAAAGTCCGATGGATTCCTTAAACTTTCATCTGAACGTCCATGCTTAGCGGACGTTATTGAACGTTCCGTTAAACGTCCACTACAAAGGTAATGACATTGTGGAAGCACTTAACCTCGATAGTTGGTTTTATTTTAGTCCACAAAAATCTATTAAGGTAAAATGAAACATATATATGCTAACCATTAAATCCAATAAATCTACCTTCAAGAAATGAAAGAAAAAATCCCAAAATTCTGTATTGTGATTAAAATGTTTATGAGTTAATTGAATTTACTGAAACAAAATTTGTACCGTCAGAAATTTGGGTAAGGATTTCATGAGGTCTTACGTCTCAATTCAACATGAACGAACCTGATATTGATTTCGATTCAAGTTGAATGGCGGACCTTTGCGTATAACATCCAACCAGTGAAAGGTGAGAATGGAAGCAATCTCATAAATCAAAATTTTATATCTCGACAGCTGTGAATCGTGATGTTCATTATAAGTCAGTTGTGAAGCTATATAATAATATGGTACAATACCGATCGTTTTCGGAATACCAAAGACGGAATAAAGAATAGTAGTATGTAAACCCGAGATAATATAAAAAATGATCATTTTACGATATGCATATGCCAGAAAACTACATATGTTGGGAGTACAATTGCGGTTGTTAAACTGTAATTATACAACCAGAGCATTTAATCCGTTGATGGAATGATGGATCCGAAAGTAAACGTCAGTACCTCTAAGATCAGATATCTCATCAAAACGGTGAGATCATTCGATAATTCTGTGGCATATCTAACCCAGCACGTTACCTATTCCTTGTTTTGTTCCTAACTAGACATACAGCAATTCAGGAAATGATTGTAAATTGCTTTACTCATTCATGTATTATCCCCCAATCATACTCATACGGTGACGAATGCCTCTGCATTAGATTTTTATGAGTAGTAAGATAGA